AGAAGGTCTTTTCATAAAGAAGCATTGAACTTTAACTCAGAATCCTCCAAATAGCTTCACACACACACACACACACACACACACACACACACACACACACATACACACACCACACTCATACACGCACACAGACACACAGACACACTCACACATGCGCTCTCTTGCTCTCTCTCACACACACAGACACTCACACACACGCACACACTCACAGACACACAGAGACAAACTTGCACACACACACACAGACACTCACACATCAACTATCACACACAGACATACACATGCACTCTCTCGATCGCTCTCTCGCTCTCACACAGAGACACTCACACACACACTCACAGACACACTCACACAGAGATACACACACACTCACACATGAACTCTATCACACAGAGACACACTCATACACAGACAGACACAGACACACATGCACGAACACACTCACAGACACACTTGCACACAGTCACACACAGACAGACAGACAGACACACACACACACACACACACACACACACACACACACACACACACACACACACACATACACCCCGAGAGTTTATTAGCAGTTCCTCAGGCAGGTGCTTTGAGAAAAGCACTTGGGGAATGCTGACCCAGAACAGAGGCAATTAAACAAAAACTAGAGGCTGCCGCTGTCAGACAAGGCTCTACCTTCCTTACTGCTCCTGTGTGTCCCTGGATCTGTCACTGGATTCATGGTGGTCACTCCCATTCCTGTCAGTTGCTCAGTCTCAGTTTTGGCCACTGTCTGGCTTTGTGTGGTTTCTGCTCCAGTCAGAAGAAAAGGAGGGAAGGGTGAGAGGTGAGGGATGAGATGTGCTCGGCCACAGAACCGCCAGGCAGAGTTCCCTCCACATGCTGGTACACACAGTCTAAAATATCAGTTGTCACTTTGTTGGGATGGGGTGGGGACTCTTTGAACACCACAGGGGAATGAAATGTGTGTCTGTGGCCACCATCCAGACAACTTTTCTTTAAAAATAAAACAAAACAGGGTCTCACCAAGTAGCCCAGGCCGACCTTAAGTTTTTCATCTTCTTGCCTCAGCTTCCTGTGTGCTGGCATAGAACAATTTATACTTAATTTGGGGAGGGAGGGTGTGTACTAGGGATTGAACTCAGAGCCTCATACATGATAGGCATTCTGTCATTGAATCCCCAGCCCCTCACTGGGGGATTCTAGGCAGGGGCTCTACCACTGAGCCACACCCCAGCCCCTCACTGGGGGATTCTAGGCAGGGGCTCTACCACTGAACCACATCTCCAGCGTCATTAATCATTAACTGAAGAAATGATAAGGGACACTCTAAATTATGCTATACTCTAAGAAAAAGTACAATAATTACTTGAAAAACAACTTTTAAGGAGATACAGACCTGAGCAGGCACTGGGAGTGTCTGTAAAGATCGAGTATTCAACTTTTGAAAGTGGGTCAATTTAAAAAGATTATTGTGTTTTTAAGTCAATGGAATTGAATACCAGATAGGTTCAGGAAGCTTGTAATGCCAACACTCCAGAGGCTGAGACAGGAGGACTGCCCTTAGTTCAAGGCCACCCTGGGCTACAAAGCATAGTGTGAGGACAAAATAAACATAGAATGGAGCTGGCAAGGGTCCAGAGCTATGGTGGGCTGAAGTGAGCAAGGAAACATCAGATGTCAGAGGAAGGGGGGTGTGTCTGGGCCCTCCCCCTGGACCCTGCCCCACCCCACTCACCATCAGCTTCCCAGTTTGGGGTGGGAGTGGTAGGCTGGACTTCTGGGTTGGTTTTATCTGGAATTGGGGTAATAACAGGGTCAGAGAGAGAAGGGAGAAGGGAGCAGCAGCAGAGTTTCCGCAGGTGGAGACTGGAGAGTTTCCACAGCAACTCCATCTTCTTTTTTTCACTGCCTGTCCATCTGCAAGAGCGGCAGGGGCAATCTCCACTGTCTTCCCTTAAGAGCTGTCCACCTTCTTTGAGACAGACTCTCTCATTGGCTTGGAACTCTCCAAGGAAGTCAAGCTGGCAAGCTCTAGGGATCCATCCGTCTCTGCCTCCCCACCTGGGGTTTGCGACCACGTGCCATTATGCCTGGCCTTTTATGTGACTTCTGGGGACTGAACTTGGGTCCTTATGCTTGTGAGGCAAGCGCTTTACTGACAGACTTCAACTCCATTTTGAGGTGAAGAGAGGAATTCAGGCCCTTTGATAAGCCCTAAAACATGAGGCCCGGGTCTCCCCTGCCTCCAGACCACTAGCAAGACTCAGAAGCCCTTCCTGAAAAAGAATGTTTGACTCAGTTTCCCAAACCTTCCTGACCACAAACCAGTATCACTTGCTCCAATAAGAGCCCCTGGGCTGGGTACTCAGGAGGTGGATCGTGCTTGGAGCCTCCTCCTCCTCAGACATCAAATGGGACAGCTGATGGGTGGAAAAATTTAACTTCCCCAGCTTTAGATTCTTCTCGATGAGAAGCTGACTAGGGGTGAACCCAACACAGAGGATCCAGAAGCCAGATTTGGTGTTAGGTCCCTGACAGTAGCGTTGAAGCACCTAGATCAGGTCATGCCTGAAGCTCCATCCCTGATTTTTTTTTTTTTTTCAGTTACACAAACGTAAATTTCCCTGTTTGGTCCAAGCGTGGTGGCATCATTACCCAAAGTGATAATTTTATAGACCTTTTCTTACCTGGGACATGAGTATTCACAGAAGTCTGGTCCTCCGCCAAACTGGATGTGGCCTTTTCTGGTGTCTGCCCTGGGGAACCAAGGCTGAGCAGTCAGAAGGAGCCTCAAACTTCCTTTGGTCCCACCATGCCAGACCTTCTGAAGTCTCCTGGCAGTCCTGAAGGTCCTGACTCCCAGGGGAACCAGCTTTGGCTGGGTCACTCCATGGTCCTGAGAACACTTTAAGCCTAGCTACTGTTCCAGGACCTTTGCACACCCTTGCAGGACAGTCTCATTGAGAGTCCGGTGCTAGGGTCAGCCAGGGCCATGGTTTCACATTCTGCTCCCGACCACTTTCTCCTTGCTGTGTGCCCTGAGCCACTGATGCCCCCTCTCTATGTCTCCTTTGCCCCATCTGAAAGGTGGGGGTGCCTCACTGCTTCCCGGGCTAAACCCTGTCTCCTCCCACTGGGGTGCCCAGCAGCCCCTCTCTGGCCTCCTGCAGCCAGAAGGGACCTGTGAGGAAACTCAAGTCAGGACAGATCCTCCAGGCTCAGAGCCCAGGGCAGCTGCGCCTCACTCCAGGGAAAGCCAAAATTTTCATCTGGTCCCCAAGTTCCCCCGCCTCAGTCCCACCACCGTCTTCTCCATCCGTTACTCATTTCACCCCAGCCCAGGCCTCCACTGTGTCTCAGATCCACACAGACAGCTCCTTCCTCTTCCTGTGTCCCCACATTTGCGCCCCACCCCCAGCATCAGTGTCCCGTCCATACAACGGGCAGCTGAGCGTGAGCTGAAGCACAAGACACACTAGCAAGTGCCCACCTGGCCTGTCCCTTTTGAGAATTGCTTTCCAGGTGAGGGTGAGGGTCTCCTACTCTATACCCTAGCCCCACTTGGGCCCGTTTGCCTGACTGTATTCTCAGAAAACCCAGCAGTTCTGCTTTGCTGGGAGCCTGGGGTTTCCTGGCTGCCGAGTAGAAAACTGACACCCATCACCCAGCCAAGTCAAACTCAACAAGTCCTTCTCAGCGGTGAAGGGGAGGGGTGCTCAGCAGGACAGGCTCCAGCCAGACCCTCTGGAAACAGCCACCCGAGGTCTGAAGTGTCCAAAGAGGGTGCAACCCAGAGCCTGCCTCGCCAGGCTTCGCCCCACTTCCTGATGCCAGCTCACTGCAGGGAAGGGGCGTGAGATGGTACAGAGCATTTAATCTTCAGTCACCCACCTAGCCGCCCACTGAGACGGGGTGGTGATGGTGGGGTCGTCTTACCTCTGCTGGGCAGAATCAGGACGACAAAGACAAGGAGACACAGACGACTGGACGGTGACATCTGTGGGGTGAGTGGAGGGAAAGGTGAGTGAGGCAAGACCCCTCGGCAGCCCCACATCCTCCTGGAGCAGGCCCCTGGCTTCAAGGTTCCTCTGGTACCTGCCTCTGGGAAGGGATGCTTTTCAGAAGCCCGAGTCCCAAGCCACCATCCCCTTCTTCCATGAGCCGATCCCCAAAGAAAGCCAGAAGCATCAGCTAAGCCTGGCCTCCTGACAGCCCTGAGGCAGAGAGGCCGATCCCTGCTCCTACAGCCGGAGCTGACCCTCCTCGCCGGTGGTGGTTCCCTGGCAGAGGAAGCCAGGGGCCCCGCGGTGTCTGCTCCCTCGGGGACGGAGCCCAGAGCGGTGGGGCCCGGAGGGGAAGAGGAAGGGTGACTAATGCCTCAGAGGAAAAAGTGAGCTGGTGTTCGGCTGCCCTGCAGGCACCACCGCACCCATGCTAGGAATATTTTAGAAGAACCAGTCTGCCCGGGATGGAGAGACTCCTCTTTGGGGAGACTGAGGCAGGAGGTGTGCCCACAGAGGAGCCAAGGGTGAATGCGAGGTAGAGAGGCATCCAGGTCCCCGCCCCCGTCCCCAAGCTGCTTCCCATCTGCATGCCATGGTCCTCAGCAAGAGGGTAGAGCAAAAAAGGGACTTACGTCCGAGCCCAGGGTCTCTAGCCTGGAGTGTGAGAGTACCGCGTGGGAGCTGCCTCGGGGCGGAGGGTGTGGCCAGGGGCGCGGGCGGGCGGGCGGGGACCAGAGCGGCTCAGTCATTTCCTCTCTGGCTTCCAGGCCCCACCAGCAGGGGTGGGAGCAGGAGCGGTGGAGGGCGATGGGGGACTGAGGGCGGTGGCCTCCATTCGAGGGTCTGGGAGACACAAGGGTACCGAGAAGGGAAAGCCCCTTGGGTAGGTTGGAAGGGAAGGATGTGGTGAGGGAAGGAGAGGGAGGAAGGAACAGGCCGGCTACCTCAGCCTCCTACCCAGCCCTTGGGTGCCCACAGACGACAACACACAGACAGAACGGGAGGAAAAAAATGAATGCACATTTATTAAGCTCAAGACATGGACCCTGAGGGGACAGCCGGGAGGGTCCTGGAGAAGGTGACCAGGAGATGCAGGAGGGAGGGATACGAGGATCCCAGGGGACTGGGGACGGACTCCTGGATCCCAGGAGCTGGAGGCCTGAGTCTCTGGGTCTGGGGTGCAAATGGGCTCTTTGGGGGATCGTCGTTGCCAAGGCCTGGGGAGGGACAGCGGGGTGGTGCAGTGGCTCCGGCCTTGGGATGGGTGTGGCGGCTCATTGGGGGCACACTCCCCGGCGCCAGGCTGGGTCCCCACCGCCTTCACCCGGTTCTCGGGCTCCTGCGCTCCGGCCAGGGACAGCAGTGGAGATCTGTAGAGGGTCCTACACGCCGCCACCTCCAGGTGCTGGGAACAGAAGAGAACCCGCGTTAGTGACCCAAGTGAGGGAAAGAACCAGAGTCCAGGGATGGTCTCCTTCTGGCTAGCCTTGGGGAGTCCTCATGTCTTCCCCGTCCCCTGATATCTGGTCACCATGAGGACATCTTCATTGCTGCTATTTGCTCCATCTTGGGTCATGGAGTAAAGGACACCTAAGGCTGACCTGAGTGTTCCTGGGGGTTTAAAGTCTCCTTGGAAGAAAGAATCCCCACCTCATGCTACACCGACAAGCTCCTTTTCAATCTATGCTTTTGACAACCCGAACGTCAGGCAGGCATCTTTCAGGCCTCCACTTCCCTTCCAGGACAGGCCACCTTTGTACTCCTACCGCGACTAGGGCTGAGCCAAACACCTGCACCCACCCTACCCCAGCACCACAAAGACACCTCTGATGTTCTTAACTCTCGTTAAGAAGACATGAAACAAGACGTAATTTCTCACCCATCCTCCCCCACAGAACCTATGTCCTCAGAGTGCCACCCTTTGTCGTAAGATTTTAATGGGAAGCTAGCTCACACCTGTAAACACCCCAGCACTTGGGAGGCGGAGGCAGATGATGGCTGTGAGTTTGAGGTTGACACAGTGAGTTCTTTACAGAGTCCTGGACAGCCAGGACTAAAGAGAGACATGGTAAGAGGAAGACAGCCCCACCTCTGATAGGTTTTTACTCCCTGAAGTAAGTCCCTAGAAAGGAGGTAACTCTGCTAATAAACACGCCCAAAGTCTCCCATGTACAACCTCTCCTCACACTCTTCATCTTCCCCACCCCCACCCCCTCGCCTTCCAGCCTTCTTTATCATCTTCCTGTCCCCATGTGCTGCCCTCCATGCTCTCCCCTCCTCTCTTCTGCACCAGCTTCCTCTTCCTCCACTTCCTTCCAGCTGGAATCATTTTTCCTTTTCTTCGTTTTGAGACACAGTCTCATGTAGCCCAGGCTGCTCTCTGACTCTCTCTATAGCTAGGAATGGCCTCAAACTCCTGATTCTCCTGCCTCCACCTCCAGAGCGTTGAGATTCTGAACAGGCACTGTGCCCAGTTTAGGCAGTGCTTGGGATTCGACCCAGGGCCGCATGCATGGAGGGAAGCACCCCAGCCGCATGCCCCTGCAAACCTCAGCTTTTTGTTTGTTTGTTGTTGTTTTGTTTTGAGACAGGGTCTCACTATGCAGCCCTGGCTGGCCTGGAATTCACAGAGATGCACACACACACACACACACACACACACACACACTCACCCCGCTTGCTCCCCACCTCACTCCAACTCCCACGTTCTGGGATTAAAGGCATACATTCTTGCCTTCCCTCCATCTTTAAATCTGTATTCTATGCTTCATCCGGTTGTCCTTATTCAGAAGCCCACCCTCTCTTCCCTCCCTCTCCTTTCTCTCTCCTGCCCTTCCTCTTTCTTCCCTGTGGGCCTACTGGAAGGTAGAGGGGAAGCCTGTGTGGTTTTCCCAGGTGCTAGCTCGCCCCTTCCATCCTCTCAGACTTCCCCAGCCACACCCCACCCACCAAGCTCTCTGATGCCTGCATTTCTTTGAGACCTCCTTGAGATGTTGCCAGAATCCCCTCTCTGCAACTTCACCCCCTGAAGGACCCAGGGTCAGCTGCAGCCTGGTGGGGCCCCAGGCTCCAGTCCCCCCACATAGCCCTCTAAGGATCCTGCTAGCATCCTCCAAAACCATGCTCACCTGAGGAGGGCAGTTCTGACTTACAGGATTTGCATGTTGGGCTGTGAAGAGAGAGAGAGAGAGAGAGAGAGAGAGAGAGAGAGAGAGAGAGAGAGAGAGAGAGAGAGAGAGAAGAGGCAGCTTAGCAGGGTGGCTAGGTTCCCTGGGCCCTACATTAGGTCTCCATCCCAGTTCCCCAGGCTGCCCCACCTCTCAGACCTGGAGTCCGCCTTCCTGCACTTCACCTTCTTGCCTGTTAGGAAAGAGATAGCAGGGAGCAATGCGAGTGGGGAGGAAGAGACAGGGCAGGGCAAGCAGAGGACCTTCACAGGTAAGGAGGGAGTGGGTGAGGCCTGCAGGGGACCCCTGAGGATTGACAATCGGGACCTTTGCAAGTGCAGACCGGGTAGGGGTGGGCAGGAGATCCTCTAAGGTGGGGACACTCTCAATTTGGGGACCCCACAAGTGGGGAGGGCACTTACTGAGGATGATGATGATCCCCAGCACGAACATGATAGTGGCCAGGGTCATCCCCACAGTCTGTACGGTGGCATAGTCTGAGGGAGACAGCGGGACCTCAGGGCAGGGCAGCTCTCAGCCCAGCCCAAGCCTCAGGTCAGTGGCCCAACAGGACACGAAATCTGCCAGCTGAGCCCCCAACTCCACCAGGGACTGGGGGAGGACCCAGATTGCCTGGAACAGTCTGAGACCTCTGTGCCTCTCTACCCTCCACCCTCCTTCCCAATGCTGCCCTTCTGGATTCTCACATGAGACACTAAGCCCCATCAATCGCCCCTTCCTGGGTCCTCATCTTGGTTCTGTCCTCCATGATCAGGGCCTAGACTATCCCGGCAGATCTCTCTATGGTATTGCTGCCCTGCCCCCATTCTTCCTCCCACAGCCACAAGAACTCTATTACTCCCAGTCAGATCGGGGACCTGCAGAGGCCTCCCAAATGGCCCCCACAGTATTCCAAGCAAAAACCAAGATAAATCAAGATTTGAACCTCAGAGTCGTAAAATGACTTCTGATTATTTCAGTGCATGAGCCCATTAGCCCTGGTCATAATCCGTGGAGATGCTGAGTACTGTTTGGTATTGAGACAGACAGCAGCCTCACCTGACTGACAGAGTCCATCTAGCACTGATACAATGAATGAGAGTTCTTCAGTGGATGACCTAGTCCTGATCTTACTAAGGCGTCACACACTCTTCTCTTCTCAGCAGTCCTCTGCATAGCTGCATAAACCCCCTAATCCTCGAGCATGCCAGCCACCCTGCCTCAGGACCTTTGCACTAGCCACTTCCTCTGCCTGAAGGCTCCATGCACTTGACTTCCTCACCAACCTGTGAGTTTAACTGAAATGCTCCATTTAAAAGTCTCATGGCCCCAGCTCTCTCTAACCCCATTCCCTTTCTTATTTTTCTTTTCATAAGAACATAATGCTTTGAGACTGGGTCTCACTACATAGTGCAGACTGATCTCAAACTCACAATCCCACTGCCTCAGCCTCTTGAATGCTGGGAAGAATTATTCTTGTTTGCTGTACATGTGAGGTGAATAGGAGGAGAGCATGAGGCTGTCAGGACGGAAAGGCTGGTCTAGAAACCTCCCCATGATGTCTCCAGAGCCAGGTGTGGGGCCTAGCATCCAGCACACACAGGCGTCACAGGGAGGGGACCGTGGAGTACCTACTGTGTACAGCCTGCATCTGCCCTTCAGCAGCTAGCTCTGATGCTGTGATCAAGCATTCATCAACAAACAAAAATTGCTAACAAAAACAAAACCACACACACAAATCCCCAAGTCACGGCAGGGTGTGGTGTGGCTGCTTTGGCTGGGGACTCAGGGACAGCCTCCTAGCAAATCAGTCAATATCTGATCCGAGGCCAGCAAGGAGAGGAGCCTTAGCTCACTGTGTGGAGAGCTGGGGGTGAGGAATCATGTTTCTGGTAGAAGGAAGAGTAAGTCTAAAGGCCCTGAGGTAGTAAGGACCTTGGCCAATGAGAGGGTCTGTATTCATGAGTAAGGACAGAAAATGGGGGGAATTCAGGCTAGCTTCCAGTCTGCCAGACCCAGGGCTTCCGTATCTTAGGGATGAGAGAAAGGCATCATTACAGAAACTCTTTCTGTAGTCCTCAGAGGTGGGAACCATTGCTATACCTTATTTATAGGAGGGTCCAGAGAGGTAAAGTTGTTTGCCCTAGGCCACACAGCTAGGAAGTGGATAAATTAAGATTCAAATCTCAGAGTCGTTTTATGACTCTTCCCAAGCTGCTTCTTTGATTAATTCAGTGCATGAGCCATAGTCCTGGTCAGAATCCTTGGAGGCGTTGAGTATTATTTGCTATTGAGGCAGGCAGCAGCCTCCTCTGACTGATGTAGTTTATCTAGCACTGATATAATGAATGCATTTGCCCTTCCCAGTCTCTTCCTAGTCTCCAAAGAGGGAGCCTTAGGCTGGTGCTTGCCAACCCCAGTTAATCTCTACCCTGAACCCAAGAGAAAACAGGCTTTACAAGGCTCACAGCCTCCATCAGGGGCTGGAGGGGGTAGAAGACCACCTCCCTCCCCCAATCGGGCTGTACCTTCCACATACCCCTTTGGTGAGCCAGTGTCCTGTAGTCCCAGCTGAAACTACCCTTCCATTTCAGCCCTAGGGCATCCCCAGCACAAGATCCAACACTCACCATAGAAAAACGGGTCTGTTTCTTCGGGAACTGTGGGAAAGAAGACAGAGAAGAGGGGAAAACACGTTTCAACACTGGCTTTCTGGATATGTTCGAGGACCAAGATGGACCAAGCGCTTCTTTGTATGGTGGATGATACTGCCTCTCAGTAGAGCACATAGGATGCTCTCCAGACCCATTCACCCATCAGTCAGTGCCATGTCCTGTCTAGTGCACCACCCACCCAATTGTACATGGCAGCCCTGGTCCTAGACCCCTCGGAATCATTCCGTGAAACACACATGTACACACACACTGGACCTATCAGAGCCCAGTCTCACAAGAGGACCACCAGATGGACGCATTGGCTTCCCCTAAAGACTCTCTCAACCCTCCCAGTAATCCAAGGGCCCCTGAGGTCACAAGGCTGCCCCATGCAGAGCTTTCCCATCTGCTTAGGCTGTCACCAAATCCAGTATGGGCAACCTGTGATGACTTATATTCTCTATCATCTAAGATACCAGCAGTTTGGAGAGTTGGGATCAATCTTGTGGTAACTCTGTGCTCCTTTGTAAATGAATCTTCTCCATCACATGAAATGTAGGTTTCTGAGGTTGGATTCCTCCAGCCTCAGAAAATGTGTGTGTGTGTGTGTGTGTGTGTGTGTGTGTGTGTGTGTGTGTGTGTGAGGCCTTTTCCCATTTCTCACCTTTGTCCTAAACCCCTTTTAGCAGGCTAGGAGAGGCAGGTATGGTGGCCCACATCTATACCCCAGCACTTGTAAGAATGAGACAGGATAGAGACATCAAGGACAGCCTGGGCTACAAGGAGACCCTGCCAGGTAGAGGGGGAGCTCAGAACATTCTTCCAGTGTAAGATGGGCACCCTGGCCAATCATGGTAGCACATGCCTTTAATCTCAGTACTAAGGAGGCAGAGGAAGGTGGATCTCTGAAAGTTTGAGGCCAGTTATTTCCATACTATCTGAGGCTACATAGTGAGACCTTGCCTTTAAAAATTAAATTAAAAGATGTCTACCCTGTAGCCGGACGGTGGTGGCGCACGCCTTCAATCCCAGCACTCGGGAGGCAGAGGCAGGCGGATCTCTGTGAGTTTGAGGACTGCCTGGGCTACAGAGTGAGTTCCAGGAAAGGCACCAAAACCACACAGAGAAACCCTGTCTCAAAACAAACAAACAAAAAGATGTCCACCCTGCGACTGTCAACTCTCCCTGCAGCTCTCATCACACTCTGCCCGGTCTACAGCAGAATTCTGCAGCCTGTGCCACTAGAAAGGGGGGCGGGTGATGGCACTGGTGCTCCCCCTTTCGGGGTTCTCTGGGACCCATGAATGCTTAAGATGGTGAGTGCTTTAGTTGGCTTTGGGGTGTGGAGACCTCCTGCCTCCATCCACATCCCTAAGTTAGCAGTGCATCCTAGTGGCCTTCCTCCACTGAGACTTTTGGTACTATTTGCTACCAGTACTACTTGGAGCCCAAACTGACTGATACAGCTGGCTATGAGGCATGACCATTAAAAGCTCTGGTTTATTTGGTGTGTCCTTCCCAGGTCTCTGTCCAGGCTCTAAAGAAATCCTGGTTTTGGTGCTGATGTGTCTTTAACATTTGTCAACTGAATTGTTGTTTGGGGAATGTGACTTAGGTTTGCTTTTTTTTTCCCCAGAGGATCTCACTATGTAGTCCAGGCTGCTCTTAAACTCACATTCCTCCTGTCCCCGCCTCCAGAGTGCTGGCATTACCAGCATGCACCACACACCTGCCTCCTGACTTTTAGGGCAAGAGAGGGAAAAAAATACGAATTTTCCATTTGTGGTGGTGATTTAAAAAGAAAAATAAGCCCAGTAATGTTTTTTAAAGAAGTTAATCCTCAGGAGAAAAAAAAAATCTTAAATAAGCAGCAGTAAAAGGAACGTTCCAATACGGCAAACTCAGATGCATACAGCCTGGACCCTGTGTCTGAGAGCCATCTGGGCTGCAATTTAGCCTCACCACCAGAGGGTGGGCAAATTGGTCTCTGAAGCTCAGTCTGGTTCTCAAGAAGTTTTCTGGAATGAATGAATGAACGAATGAATGAATGAATGAGAGGGCCTCCAAGGCTGCAGGTGATTGCATCAAAGACAGAGGTATTGGCCTATCTCTCAGTCTCCTGGTTTCCCATACATCCCTTCTCCAGATGACTGCCTGTCCCAGTGTCTTCCTGGGCTCCTCCAAAGATTCCCTGCGGGTCCCTGACCACCGCAGTCCCAGTCTTCAGGGTGTGGCTGGGTTAAGGGTGGAGCCAGGAGGCAAGAGAAGCAATGTACACCACTCTTGGCCAGTTGCCAGGGAGAGATCAAGAAGGAGGTGGTTGCTATGGTAACCAGGGCATCTTGCGAGGTGATTGGGGTCCTGGCACTCCAAGCTGGGTGGGGTCCTGTGTAAGGTTTGGGGGATGGGCCAATCTTACCTCTCCTCTTTGCCCCTGCAGACATGGCTTCTGGCCAAGCTGTCTTTGCTCCCAAAAATAGGGTCCTCGATCCAGGTATGCTCACATCCCCGTTCTGCTCACCCCTGATTCTCCCTCTTATTCTCTGACAAGAACCGCATCTCCCTTCTCTCCCTCAACAATTCATTAATTTGTTTCCATAAGCTGCCTGCGAAGAATGCACCGGAGCTTTTCCTCCCCCGGGGTTTCCCAAGTCCTGCGGTCCCCTGTCAGGCTGTGACAGGGAGAAGGGGATTGGCGAGGCATCTGCCCTCCCATCTCCACCCGTCTGCTGCTATCGATCCTGTTAACCGCCACCTCTGCGAAAAAGAAGCCCTGGGCTCCCGCCAGACCTGCTGGTTCAGCCCTGCCCCCTCTCCCTGGGGTGGCTCCTAGCCTCTGCAGCCCCTCACCCCCGCCCTGCCTGGGATTCTGCAGCTAGGGCTCTGCACAGCAGCCTCCCCCCGCCCCCCTGCGCGTTTGCTGGGGAAGAGGAAAGGGAAGGTGCCGTGAGAATGGAATTGGGGTTCCCTCCACCGCTAGGGGCTCCGCAGCACCCCAAGTCCTCTGTGTTGCCCGCACTCCTGTTCAAGCATCCTACCCCTAGCTCCTCTGCAGAGGACCGGGCAACAGAGAGGGAGATCAGAAAGCCAGGGAGCCAGAGAGGGTTTAAGAGGGTGCACCAGATCTGGGTTAATGGGTGCTAAGTGTAAACCTAGTGCGGCTGGATACAGGGAGACGAGATGTGTCTCCAAGATGAAACCATAAGTACATGTGGGATGGGAAGGGGGTCCCCGACATTCCATTCCCACCATGCAGGTTCACCGCAGTGCTGCAGCCCCACCCGTCCCCCCTCCCTCCACACTTGTCTATCTTCCTCTATCTCAGGGTCTCTACGTCTGAAAAGCTGTCTCTCTCTCTCTCTCTCTCTCTCTCTCTCTCTCTCTCTCTCTCTCTCTCTCTCTCTCCATCTCTGAGAGACTGTCACCTGGGTTTTCGTGCCTCTGGCTCTCCTGTTTCCCTTGGTCTCTATCTCTTTCAGGTTTTCTTAGCCCATCTCTTGTCACACCACCATCTCCCTCTTCTCCCTTCAACAGTCCCTCTGGTCCTTTAGCATCTGCCTGTCGGAGTTCAGTAAATATCTACACTACACAAGGCAGTCTTAGGATAACGACCCCTTTAACTGGCCCACCTCTGGGTGCTGAAGTATTCCAGAACCTCAGTGGCTGCAGATCCATCAGCTCCCACCCTTAAACCCCCATCTCTTCCCGTTAGCTTCCACCACTGTGCTGGACCAGGCACCCGGTTGCCATAGCAACCTGTCCGCGCATCCTTTCTCTTGGGACTGTCACTCTCTAATCATAGGTCCTGTACAGGGTGCCCAAGAAACCCCAAGGGGTGTCAAGGAATGTGCTCCTGGGCTTCCACCCACGATAGGGGCAGACATTTCCCCTCCCTCTTCCTTTCAGTACGGGATCCTCCCCACATCCTGTCCCCTAAGCTCTTAGATCCAGGATCCCCCACCTCCATGCTAGCACCCATTGACGCTCACCGTTTGTGGGGCTCTGGGTTGGGGTGGCCATGCTGAGCCCGAGCAGGGGGCTGCTGAACGCTGAGGCAGCTGAGGCAGCGAAGGCGCGGCTGCAGCAGCTGGAAGCAGGACAGACTGATGTGGGGGGGTAAAGTGGGGGAGCCCTGGTAGGGCGGGGGGGCCTGTAGCCAATGGGGGCCCGAAGAGCCCGCCCCCGTCCAGGCCATACCCCCGCCCCCGCCCCCGCCCACTGCTGACGTCCCCGCCCCTTCCCCAAGGGTGGGGGCGCCCCCTGCCGGGGCCAAGGGGGCTCCCGGGTTTTCGCGCAAGAGGCACTGAAATCAACCAAGCGCTATCAAGAGGGAAAACCGAGTTTTATTGGAGGTCTTAGCAGTAAGGGGTGTCCGAGAGGCAGGGCTGAGGCAAGGGACGCTGGAGGTGGCCACAGGCGAGCAGCTGGGTGGGGAGAGGCGTCAGATGTCAAGGGGGTCCTGTGGGGGGTGAAGGGAGTGAACGGCAAGCAGAGACCCCAAGCTCTCCTTGCCACGCTCCCACCCTGGCACTGTGCCCCTCTGCCTCTCTCCCTCCCAACTTCAGCCCATCAGCTGCAGGACCTGGCTGAGTTTCCTGGAGACAGGTGGAAGGTCTACCGCCTGCGGGTGGACAGACCTGGGGGGGACACAGAGAGTTCAGCGGGGGCGGGGGGGGGGGAATCTGCAACCCGGGTAACTCCCCGCCAAACCCATCGTGCTGTGCGCCCAGGAAGAGGGGTTCTTGGAAACAGCTGCCCCACAAACCCCTGCCGTGTCCACGAACTTACGGCGGATGGAGCTGCGGAAAGTTCCCTCCTCTTCGTCGGGTTCCCCAGTTCTGGGAAGGGACAAACAGAGGAATTCGGATGGACCAGGATGGGCAGCCGCTTCCGAGAAGCCCCAAGTGCAGGCCTTATTTCCCGAACCGCAACGGGGACTTGGATACGGGAAAGGTCCATCCAAGAAGCATCCTGTTTCTGTTCTGGGGTGCGGCAGGAGGAGCTCCTAGCCGGTCACAGTGAAGGCCTCCGGGATGTTGGGGAAGGGACTTGACATTGTTGGGGAGAGGGACGGTCACAGGGTCTAGGGAGACGGCCCTGATGGGACTTGGGTCCAGTGAGTGAGCCTAAGTCTCCTCACCTCCCTGTGCCACCGTTTCCTCATTTGCAAAACGGAATTGATGGCACCCAGGTGGGGTGAGGGGAACAGAACAGGGAAGGAAAGGCGCCCGGCGCGTGGTGGCACTCATGCACGCTAGAGGGTCGGTATGGAGGCATCTGTGATCGTCTCAGCACGCAGAAGGCATGCCTACGTTGCCTGCGCTTGAAAGGTTTATTTCGAGAGGGATAGTGCGCGAGGATGGGGACTGGAGCTAAACTGGGCCGCCCTGTGAGGTGATCTCATTTCAGCACTGCTGCTCCTGCCCAGCTTCGCCTCACTATGCTTGAGTTTCCATCTGCGGGGCTGGTGGGAGCCCAGCGCCCCCACTGGCTGGGAGCTGGGCCAGGCAAAGCGGGAGATTGACCATTGCTCGGGGGCTAGGAACTTGGCTTGGCTTTGGCACATGCTCAGCGCTTAATACGTGTTCGGCTGCAGGATGGGTGCGCTTGCCGCCTCTCCCCAACTGCCTCTCCACTGCGGGAGGAGCGAGGGAGGCCCAGAGGGAGCACTCACCTCTGCTGTTGGTTGAATTTGCACCGACATCTCTTGCCTGTGGAGTGGGAGGGTATAAGCTGAGCTTTCCTCATACTCCCTCCTCCAAACTGGGGAGGCCGCGGGGGTGGGGCGTGGGGCGGGGCTGGAGGAAGGGTAGGGTGTGGGGGCGTGGTTGAATGTGGGGGTGTGGTCTCGCAGAATGGGGTGGGGAGTGGGCGTGGTTTAAAGTGGGTGTGGTCTTGTGGGGCGAGGTTGGAGTCAGGGTGGGATGTGAGAGATGTGGTTGGAGGCTGAGCCTGTGCTGGGCGTGGGTGGGGCAAGCTGTGTAGGTTGTTGGGAGCTGACTTGGGCAGGGAAGGCTGGAGGCGGGGCCGAGAAGGCAGGTGCAGACACTCACTAAGGATGATAAGGATGCCCAGGATGAAAAGGATCCCAGCGATGGTGAGGCCGCCGATCCTCAGGGTGTGGTAATCTGTGGGCAGCCCAGAGGAGAGTGAGCGGAGGGAAGGGGGGTCCCATGGGTAAGAGTATGCAGGGCAGAGGGGAAGAGAGGAAGAGAGGCGAAGCGGGGAGGGGAGAGCAGATGTGTGAGAGGAGAGGGCAGGGCAGAGGAAAGAGGGAAGGAGGAGGGTGGTGGGAAGGGAGAAAGGTTGGAGAGGAGGGTGCCACCGAAAGTGGAGACAGAAGGGGATGGGTGAGACGGGGGATCAAATAGACAGGCAAAGGAGTCTAAGACAGAGAGAGAGAGAGAGAGAGAGAGAGAGAGAGAGAGAGAGAGAGAGAGAGAGGAGAGAGGGAATGGAAACACACAGGCCTTCTCTCCAAACCCCACAGCAGTTCCCCTCACCGTAGGTGAATGGATCGGGTTCCTGTGGACCTTCTAGAAAGAAAAATAAAAATGAACATTTGAGTATCTCTTGGGGTTGGGGGCTCTACCTACCTTCTCGCACTGGGAGTTTGGGTGCTACAGGACCATAGACAGGCTGCCAGACTATTCTGTGTTCTAGCAACCTCCTGTGGTGACCCAGTATCCTGATATCTTACAGGTTGTTCATGTTTCCATCAACCAGGGACCCAGCTTCTATCCACTCCCACTTCTGCCTAACTCAGACATCTTCCTCTCTTCCCCAAATGCCAGCCATGACCAGAGCCTGTGTGGCGATGCCTGATTTCCTCTTACGTGAATTCCTTTAGTTTGGTTTCTCCCACTTAGTTTTCTCAGGGGCCTTCTCCTACCTCTGGCACCCACAGGGCTGAGATAGAAGGCATCTCCTTTGGACTCACCTGCACTGGCCGTGGTGAGGAAACACACGCAGAGAGCCAGGATGTGGCCGGGAGATGCCATTGCCCTAAGGAGCCAGCCAGGGTCAAGAAATGTCCTCTCCCCCGTTCTCCTCCCCTCCTAGAAAGGGCCTGAACCCACGGGGTTAAGTCAAGGACAGCCTAAGGACCTAAGGAAGGAGTGTCAGCCATTCAACTTAGTTGCCTGAGAAACAGGGGCTCCCCTGCTTCCCAGGAACCACGTCCCCCAAACAACTCCATAACGGGGATCAGGAGACTCTGCAGCATACACAAGAGCAAGGCAGGGTGGGGAGACACATATACAGGCCTCGGGGGGCCTCCCACGGGCCACCCCTACCAACATCTGGTCCCCGAGTCCCGAAACTTACCCTTGTAAGGGAAGCAAGCTGCCTCTGGACACAGGTGGAAGTGCTGAGACAGACAGAAGGACACGCCCAGCCCCACCTGCCCCAACACACCTCAACCAGTGGTCTCTGTACCCAGACAGTCCCGGCTCTCCTGCCTTCGGCTGCCTGCCCGCTCTCTCCCTGACCCTGGGTATAAATATCTCCCACTTCACCCTGGAGGAATTCGCTGCACACAGGCCACCATGGCAACAGCCCCCCCTCTCCCAACGACTCGGGGGGTCCTGTACGACACTCCTGGGGTGAGGCTCAGCCAGGAGCCACATCCCCACAGGCTACCCTGTATCCTTTCCTGGAAGCTGTGAGAAAAGGGGGAAACACCCCTCCCTTTGCCCTCCCCCGGGTGACATCTTTCATAACAAGACAACATTAGACAAGCGAATGACAAGAGGCCCATGCTGGTGGGCCTGAGAGAAGTCAGTTGTTTGGTTCAGGGACACACGTATGAGCACAGACACACTTATACGTGGATACACACACACACGTACACACACACACACAAAACGGCTGTGGCTAGAATTGGGACAGACAACACCCTCTTCCCAAACTGTTGATTAGAGGAACATAGGGTGTGGACATAAGCACATACTCCTCCAGGCCTTCTGTACCCCCAAACAGTGACAGAAACAGACCTGTACAAATGAGTACACAAGCCTCCCCCCAGTCAGGGGTCCCACGCAGCAGCCACTGAAACAGGGCGGAGTCACCGCTCCGCCCTGTACAAACGGTCCCCACACTCTCCTCCCTCTTGGGTCAGGCCTGCTGAGAAGCCACAGGCTGGCCACTCTTGTTCCCAAAATAGGCCTCCCAGCTAGGGGAGCAGAGGGGCCTGGAGGGGGGGCTGGGGGACGCTCACCCCATTCACGCTGTCCCTGCTGACAGAAGACCCCCAAATGTCCAGCTGTGCACCCTGGGAGCTAAGCACTTTGGACCCCCTGGCCCAGAACTGGACGCTCCACCCCCGCAGGCTCCCCTCCTGGCCCCACCCCACTCTTGCCCTCCCCACGAGCAACTGAAACTAGAGCCCAGGCTGGAGGGGGGCCAGGGGGCGGCCCCCAGCCCAGGCCGCCCTGGCCGCTAGATTAACTCTCTCAGCACAGCCCCAGGAGCAGCATGTGGACTGGCCTGTGAGGTGACACAGACCTGTGTGTGTGCGTGTGTGTGTGTGTGTGTGTGTGTGTGTGTGTGTGTGTGTGTGTGTCTGTCTGTCTGTGTGTCTGTGTGTCCATGCGCGCGCGCACACACGTGTGCACGAACACAAGCCTGCTTCTAGACCAGGATCAGAGAATGTTTTCTGCTAGGATTCCTGGGAATTGGCCCAGCTGGGGCCTAAGGTCACACAGCCTAAGTGCTTACGAGGTCACTGACCTCTGACCTAGTGTTCTGCCAGCCTTTGGTAACTAGTTTTTTATTTTAAATGCGTGGTGCTTTGATTTTTGCATGGATGTTGTGTGTTGCTGACTCAGATTCACCAGGAGTAAAACACACACACACACACACACACACACACACACACACACACACACACTCGGGTATCTGTGCAGAGATACAGTCAGGATATAACCACTGAATGGGTCTCAGGAAGCAGAGGCAGGAGGATTGGGAGTTCAAGGTCAGCCTGACCTGCAGAGTGAGCTACATAGAGAGCGAGACACACATCCCTTCTCATAAAAAAGACATTGCTGTGCCTGTGTGCTCTTACACACGTTACACACTATCACACACAGCCCATAGGAACACATTCAAAGACAGACTCACGCCCGGTACTCCCTCCCATTCCCACACCACAAGGAGGGCAGACATGGGTTCAAGACTCCTTGTGTGACCTTGGGCAGCTCTTGAGACCTCACTGTCCCTCAACTGTCCCGGGCTACGTAAGGGAGAAACCACTAATGCTCTATCTGCAACTCCTGGCCAGGCTCCGAGGTCCACAAACTTAGTATTTTCTTGTCACCTCCGTTTTAGAGACTGGTAAACTGAGGTCTAGATCACTGATTTTCCTCAAGTCACCCTGCCAGCTGAGGGTAGAAATGTCCCCAGCCAACAGCAGCCCAGACACTGTGCTCTACAGACAGGAGTTTAGCCCTGTCACGGACACAAGCTTAGCCTCAGATATCCCTGTGGCCCCAGAGCCTTCTACCCAAGCTGTCCCAGCATCCCTGTTGAAGATAACCTTGGTGTTTGCACAGCACCAGGAGAGGAGGGGGGCTGCCGCCAGCCTGTCCAGCCTGCCCAGTTCCCTCTGCTTAGAGAATGGCTCTGAAGAGCTCACCGCCCCAGGGTGGGACAGCTCAGTCCTTTCTCTTTGTGTGATGCTAGGCTGGTGGCAGTCTGTTTGGGACTCAATTGTCCCTTCTGTAAAATGGAAAGAAGAGCAGTGTTCCCCCAACAGAGGGAGGTGGTGTGGTTATCTAGAACAACCCACGCAAAGCAGTGAAAACGGGTGCATTTCCTGCAAGGCTGGTGCACAGTAAATGCTTGTGTTTGCAAAGTTATGCCCTGCATCACTGTATAAGCCATCTGTCTCCTGATGAACGGGAGTGAGCACCTGCTGGAATGCTCCAGGCCTGTCGCTGGCCCCTGTGTGTCCTTAGCAGGAAGCTTTTTAATTGTTCTCTGTCTGTCTGTTTGTTTTGACAGGCTCTTATTCTGCACCCTCAAGCTGGCCTCAAACTCACTATGGAGCCTAGACTGGTCTCCAACTGTCAATCCTCCTGCCTCCACCTTCTGAGTTTGGGAATTACAAGTGTTATCGCCTCTCTGAACCTTTATCAGCGTATTCCTATGTAGGGCTGGGGATATGGTTCAGTTAGCAGAGTGCTTACTTAGCATTCATGGAGTCCTGGGCTCAGTGCTCAGCACCAGATAACCTGGGAGTGATGACACACGTTTATTCCCAGAAGTGGAGGCCAGAGGTTGGGAGATCAAGGTCATCCTAGGCTGTACAGAAAGTTCAAGGCCAGCCTGAGTTATGTGGCACTCTGTCTAAAATGATTACCCCCCCAAGCCTGACTGAACCCCGAAGAGGGGAACTGTTTGGTTAGTTCACCGAGTCCTCTCCTCAGTCTGGGCATGGACAGTAGGAATGATCCCATTGACAAATGAGGACACCAAGGAACAGAGAGGTTGAGTAACTTGACTGAGGCAACACAGGATCTGTTGGGCTCCTGTCCTCCAATGGCAAGAGACCACGTGTTCCTCAGCCTTCTGACCCCAGGCAACAAAGGTTGTTCCTACTAAGCTAGAGCCAACTGGCCCTGTAAAGCTAATCATTTAAGAGCCTCATGCCTCGGTTTCCCCATTTTTGGAGCAGGGATTGTAAAGCAGGAACAGCAATACCCCCAGCTCACAGAGTTGCTGTGACGTCAATGAGCTAACACATGTAAAACCTGGCACACAGTTGAGTGTGGTGGCGCCCATCTGTCATCCCAGCACCTGGGAGGCTAAGCCAGGGGAGTCTTGTGTTTGAGGGCAGCCTGGACTGCAAAATGAATCCCAGGCCAGTCTCAAAACAAGCAAACAAGTGTAAAAGCCTGGCAGAAAGCTTGAGGGGCGTAGGAGGGATCAGGACTTAGGTTGGGTTATGTGTGATTTATGAATTGTTCTCATTTAATGGAGAGGATCTGTCTGAGTTTCCAAGACCTTAGTTCAGATGAAAACACGCAGTTGTGCACATGACCATAAATTCCAGCTTCCAAAGACAGGATGGAGAATAATACAGAGTGGCCCTGGAGCAGGCTTCCTGGGTTTGGATCCTGGCACTGCCTCCACTGGAGCCAGCCACCCTGATCCCCTGGCCTTTCTTCAAATTCGTTATGAAAATGACACTGACCTGAACTTCATGGGAAGATTAGGGGCTGGTAGTGAAGTTTTAGGACAAAACTCGATTAATTTGACGTGGAAGAGAGAGGCGGAATCATCACTGTTAGTACTTGTATTCAGTCTTGGATCCTGGCCTTCAAGTGTTAATTACAGGGACCTGGAGGGAGCTCTGGCTTTGGGGCAGGGCAGCGGTTCTGCCACGGGTGACCACAAGGGGGAGCAGCTGGACCGGTACTGGCCTAGTGGTGCCTTGGTGACAGGGTGGACCACACCCTCTAAGAGACGGGGCAGGAGGGAACAGCTAGGATATCCCCCATCCCCCAGTGACTCCTCTTCCTAGCCCCTCCCATCTGCAGTCTGCAGAGCCATCTGGTCTCCACCCTGGGGACATCCTTCCCACTCTCCTCAACTGGGGTTGAGTGGGGACTCTGATGAGGGGGTTGGTTGGGAGTGCCTAGGGTGGCTCAAGCCCTTGGCAGCCCCGCCCCCTCAAAGGCCATTCAGTCCCTTCCTTGGGCCTTTTCTTCCTATGGCCTCTGACCCGCTCCTTCCTACCCTTCTGCTGGGCACATCCTAGGCCACAGCAAGTGGGACGAGAGTGTGGGAGGACACAGAGAAAGTACTGGAAGCTTGAAACGGGGCAGGGAGGTGAGAGTTACAGACACCAGGCAGAAGGACCAGGACGGACAGACAGACGCACACACACACACACACACACACACACACACACACACACACACACACACACACACACACACCAGAGATCTACAGGCCAAACCAGAGACACAGACAAAGACAGAAACAGACATGAGATTGCAGGGGTGGGAAACAGAATAATAGAAAGATTGGGAGAGAGACTGACAGACAGTCCCACACTCCAGATACAGGGAGAGAGGGACTGGCTGAGAGAGAGAACAAGAAGGCGACCGGCCACAGGACAGCATGGCCAGCAGCAGGATGGAGGGGCATCCCACAAACATGTAGTGGTCAGGGTCTGGCAGGGTAGGGTGAGTGGGAGCCTGGGCAGGGGCAGGGGGCATGGGAGGGGCAGGCATTCTATTGTTGCTGTTGGCCGGGGCTGGGGCAGGAGTGGCCTGGAGTCCCCCCAAGGCAAAGTGTCCCCCACGCTGCTCCTGTTCCAAGGAAAGCACCCTGTGTGAGGGCTCCTCCGAGCTGCCCGAGAGCTTCTCCGCCACGCTCCTGTCACTGTGAGTGCCAGCCCTGTGTGGGCCTAAAGGGAGGGAGGAGACCTGGGACTCCAGGGTTTGGGGTGGGGTGCTGGGGTCTCTATCAGAATCTTGCACACCACAGAATTCTGGGATGTCTGAAAGAGGGCTGCTGAGATTTGGAAAGGTGCCGATTGGGGGTGTCCCAAAGGGCAGGGGGAATCAATGGGGACACTGGAGGTGCAGTATCCAGGGGCTGAGGGCTGCCAGGGACCTTGTACATGTGTGGAGGGCAGAGGGCAGGGATAGAGAGCAGTAGGAGGCACCCCCGGGCTCAACATGGAAGGTCAGGGCCTCCAGAGCAGCCAAGGGCTCTGATTTGAGAGAGGAAAACTGCAATGGGTGTCTGCTCACTGATTTCTGCCCATGTCCCCAGCTCCCTCATCAAGATGGGGGTCTCCCAGCTGAAGGCTGGCAGCTTCATGAAGATACCATCATTGCACTTGCTGTGAGTATGGCCTGGCTGGGCCCACGACCCTCTGCTCAAGAAAATGAGTGTTCCTGCACGTGTGTGCGTGAATGTGTACGTGCGCACGCGTGTGTGTGTGTGTGTGTGTGTGTGTGTGTGTGTG